GACATATGTGACGAACAGCACATCTAGGCTTCAGTTTCTGTATCTTCCCATATATTTTGCTTGTAATTATTTCCCAGTCAGCTGATTTCTTCTTAACTTTCAATTGGGTTGTTTTACTTATTTTTTATTTTATTCAGTACCAGGGCCCTGAGTACTCAGAGCATTCATGCTCTTGGCTCTGTTTTCTTGCTCAAGACTGATGCTATATACCCTAAGCCACATCTCCAGTCTGGTATTTTAATTAATTGGAGATGGAGTCTTTAGAACCATTCTTACCTGGGGTTGACTTGGAACTTCAATCCTCCAGGTTTCAATAAAGTAGCTAGAATTACAAGCATGAGTCATTGGTACCCAGCTGGGTTATCTTTTAAACTTGTATTTTCTGTTGGACACAAGTTCTATTTACTTACCACGACAAATTATTAAATTTACGTGTTTTAAAATGAGATCTTGCTGTGTTGCAGACTGATGGAGATCCTCCTTGTCTTGCATTTTTTAGCATTACTTCTCTTCCACATGAACCTTTACAGATGCTTAAGTACACTGCCAACCACTTGTAATACAATCTATAATAATTGTAAAGTTGTGAACATTATTCCATTGTCTTCTTTCATCAAATCTGGCTAATTTCTTTTCCCCTCTTAAGAGGACTTGATCCTTTTACCTACATGTCCAAAGTACTCTTTCTACATCAAGATGTAGAAACTTTTCTTTTTTTTTTGCTTTATTGCTAATCCTAGAGCTTGAACTCAGGGCCTGGGCACTGTAGCACCACTTCTGGCTTTTTCTGTTTTTTTTTTTTTTGGTTCCGGTCTTGGGGCCTGAACTCTGGGCCTGGGTGCTGTCCCTCAGCTCTTCAGCTCAAGGTTAGCGATCTACTACTTGAGCCACAGCGCCACTTCCGGCTTCTTTTTTTGCTTATGTGGTGCTGAGGAATCGAACCCAGGGCCTCAGGCATGCAAGACAAGCGCTCTACCACTGAGCCACCTTCCCAGCCCCCTTTTTCTGTTTTTATGTGGTACTGAGGAATTGAACCCAGGGCTTCATGCATGTGAGGCAAGCACTCTAGCACTATGCCACATTCCTAGCCCCAAGATGTAGAACATTTTCTAGGAAATGTTTCAAAGCCAATGGTTTTGTAGCAATTTTTCTTGGGATACATTATAAATCTCATCACTTCAAACTTTTACTTCTAAATTCTTTCCTTTTTTTCCTTTTCCTTTTTTTTTTTTTTTTTTGGGGGGGGGGGTCTGGTGATGGGGCCTGAACTCTGGGCCTGGGCGCTGTTCCTCAGCTCTTCAACTCAAGGCTAGCACTCTATCACTTGAGCCACAGAGCCACTTCGGGCTTTTTTCTTTTTGGCTTATGTGGTGCTGAGGAATCGAACCCAGGGCCTCATGCATGCAAGGCAAGCACTCTACCACTGAGCCACCTTCCCAGCCCCTACTTCTAAATTCTTTATATATTTGAGTTTTTTTTGGGGGGGGCGGGTCCGGTTGTGGGGCCTGAACTCTGGGCCTGGGCGCTGTCCCTCAGCTCTTCAGCTCAAGACTAGCGCGCTACCACTTTTTTTCTGCTTATGTGGTGCTGAGGAATCGAACCCAGGGCCTCATGCATGCAAGGCAAGTGCTCTACCACTAAGCCACCTTCCCAGCCCCTATATATTTGAGTTTTGAGTTTCATTTCTTTGGTTCTCTTTATCAGGGACACCAACTATGACTGAGTAGGATCTCCTTTTCTGTATTTATTACATTCTTTCTAATTATTCATTTCTATTTCTTTCTTGTTTGTCCTCCCCCTCTATTCCTATCACCCTTTTTGGTGTTTTTAACATTTTGAACTCATTTTTATTCTGTCTTAATATATCTTTAATTCTGTGCTAATTTTAGTCTTCTATATTTTCCTGGGCTCTACCAATTCTATTTTCTCATCATTATGCCTTATTGTACCCAATCTCCTGAATGCATGCTTGGAATACTTATTTCCCCAGTATATTTGGATTCGCTGTGGCATAACTGGCTGTTATTTTCCAGCTGTGTTTTGTAAAACTGCTTTTCTAGTGTGCATACTCCACTTGCTACTTGTTTCCACTTTCTCCCTCCTGTTTTATAGTATCTTTTTTTTTTTAATTGCTACAGTACTGGTCCTGCTGAATGAGGGAGGCTCCTTCTAGATATCTGTTCCTGTGGGAAAGAGGTTTCTGTGGGAAGAGGCTAGGGCCTTTGTCCATTTTTCAAGTTAAAAAACACATGAAGCCTTTGCATCGCCTCTGCCAAAAGGTAAGGTGCCGCCAATGATGCTCACAATCTCTATCCACCTAATCTTCTAGACAAGGTGGTACATCTATGTTTTCTTATACAACTAAGTTCTTTTCTTACATGAAGTGTCAATCACAGTTTGAGTAAGCTTCTGTTGCCACCTGTGCATCCTCTTCTTACTGTCCCAAAGGATTGTTTTGTCCATCAAAATCCTATTTTGGAGAATTGCAGTTCTTTTGAGTTTGCAGTCAGAAGCCACAGCTTCGTGCTAAAGTAACTATACTGCCATTGTTCATTACATAGTATGGGAGTATAAGGGAAAATTAAATCTAACTTTTGTCATTGTTGACGTTTTGGCCTTTTTCCTCCACAGTAGTTCCTGTCCTTCTGCTAAACCTCTTCTATCTCCTACCTCTGCCCTTCTATAACCATTAGTCCACAACACTTTCCCAACACTTTTTTTTTTTTTTTAAAGCAAAGCCTCAAAAGAGGAAAGGCTATGAAACAGGACCATTTTTACATGTATTATTCATACACTGATTTTCTTTTCTTTGTCTTTCTGAGGTCCAGGATGGCTCCAAACTTGTGACTTTCCTGATTAAAGCTTCCTCTCCTGCACGCCTATAAGCATGTACCATTAATTTTCTTAGAACTGGAAAATTACATTCCTATTTTTACCAACCTTGAGCTGAAACTTAGCATTTCCTTAATTACAAATGAAGGCAACTACACACAGCAGTATGAGTATCTATAACTTTTTCATCAAGAAAATCTTTTTCTTCTATATCACATAGGTGTTAAATATCTTGAAATGCTGTTTATTTCCATCACTACTTCAAAACTAACATAATTAAATTGGATGGTGTTAATGAGTTAAAGCTACATTTTCATGGAATGCATACAAAGAAGGTTCTTCAACTCAAATTTACAGATAATTAGAGGCACAAAACTACTTTTAAGATCGATGTCCTGGCAAACCAAACTTAGTTTAACACTGATTATTCCACTGATTACACTAACAGCCTGTGGGTGTTTCTTCTCTCTTAGAACTGGGACTACTGCCAACTTAGTGGCCATGAAAGAACTTAAAAACATCCATTTATCTGGAAAGACTCCAACTCCTCTACATTTTACATTTTTTCCCCCTTCACATGTATCTCTAAATGATAGTTCTCCATGGTCTTAATCTTACTAACACAGTGTCCACCACATCAGGACCTTGAACTCTATTCCTAGTTTGGCTATGGGAGAGACAGGCACCAGCGAAAAGAAATAAAGTTAGGTCTTACTTAAAGAAGGGTGGATCAGCTGGCATGGATTTGTCTGTAAACTGTATATGTGAAATGTCTGGGCAATGAGAGTTCATCCTCTTTATCCATCTCTCAAAGGGACACAAAGAAGTCAGAAGCAGATATGTTCCTGAAACATTACTAATTTAAAATATTCAAGTATTTTTTTGTTTTTGTTTTTGTTCTTTTTCCTGCCAGTCCGGGGGCTTGAACTCAGGTCCTGGGCACTGTCCCTGAGCTTTTTTTGCTCAAGGTTAGCGCTCTATCACTTGAGCCACAGTGCCACTTCTGGCTTTTTCAGGGTATGTGGTACTGAGGAGTGGAACCCAGGGCCTCATGCATGCGAGGCGAGCACTCTACCACTAAGCCACCTTCCCAGCCCCTCAACTGTTTTTTTATTGGAACTTCGTATGTAAAACAGAACCCCTTTCCTATAGCAAACTATGAGTCAGATACAGGTTAACTGGCCCATCCAACATCTCACAGTTAGTCATGGACTAAAACCAGAGCCCACCCTAGATCCACCTGTTTTGTTTTTTAATCTCAGGACCACACTTGTCACCATCTACAGATTTCTTCTTAAATCTGATGCTCAGGTAGCAAGCAGGAGTACTGGTTTTAAATACTATTAGCCAAAGCTTTTAATTGCTCTGATCACAATCACTCACAACTTTTCCTCTAAAAGGAAAAAAGGAAGATGCTAAGAGAGAAATGAAAGAAAATTCTTCCCAACAACTTTCAAAACTACATTTAATCCACACTACCAGCTAAAAGGCTTTCCCCTTTCTACCAGTGCTTAGATGAAAGACTCTCAAGTTGATAATATACCCAGCAAGATTTGCTCCTCAAAGTTGCAAATCCACATGAAAGCAACCAAGAAAAGATTAGGCCCAAAGTCATCTTTCTCTATTTAGAAACAATGGCAGGATCGTGCCATAGACCAAGATCTCCACGAACAAATTGCTTTGGAGAGGATGGACGTCAGAGAGCAACAGCAATGACCAATCCTGGTAGCAGGGCTCAGTATCCACCGCCTTCCGTGGGGGTGGGGGGAGTGGTGGGGAGGAGTGGACAACGAAACCCGTACAATAAATAGCACTAACCTCTTAATGACCAAGAGTGCACGATCATCAACCCTCTCACCAATCGTAGAGAACCTGAATTTTCCTTCACAGCACCCACCCCCAACCCAAAGCACTGCGACAAGACTTGGAGAAGGGAGGGAAGGGGAACAGGCAAGACAGACGGCCTAAGCTTTGGGACCCGTTACCACTACCAAATACCTGTCTGCCTCAGGCAAATCACAAGTCCCTGCCTCGGTTTCCCCACAACACAGAAACGCTGTCAGGACTAAAGGAGGCAGCGAATGGAGCCACATAGAGAGACGGAGGGTTCCGGATGTTCCCGGGACTCGCTCCCGGCCAGCTCCGTTCGGAGCCCGCGTCCGGCCCACCTTGTTGTTGTACTCCTCCACGAAGCTGCCCAGCGCCAGGCGAAAGCGTTTGTCGGGCCGCACGCTCCAGTTCATGGCGTAGACGGTCCAGGGCGCTTCATACTTGTAAATCTCCTTCCGTTTGCCGTGCAGAGACATGGTGGCAGCTGGGCCGCAGAGCTGGCGAGAGCTGCAGCAGGCTGGGCGCGAATCAGGCGGGGAGCCGGGCCTAGGACCAAGGAGTCCGCAGGGAGGAGGAGTCGGGGGGCGGGCAAGAACGGCCTAGCCCACAAGTGGAGCCTCAGCAACAAACGACGTCCTCGGAGCCCGACCCCCAGTTTCAAACCAGCTTGGGCACCGACAACAACCACCTTCCGTTTGGAATGCCGCCCCGCCCTCCTGGAACGGAAGCCACGAGACCCCTGCAGCAACGCCGGCCGTTGGCTGCTTGATACGTCCTTTGGAAATTATTCCTTTCCCTCATTGGTTAATGAGGCCATAGCAACCCAAATCTCTTCATTATTGGTCTACATGTTTGTCATTCCACATACTCGTCCCGCCTAACTCTTGGAGGCAGGCGCTTTCGAAGTCTGAAAGGTCATTGGCTAGCTAAGATGTCAATCAGACATAACGGCGCAGTGCGGGTGAATGGGGGCGTGGGTGGCTGAGTGACGAGCGTGGCGGGCAGCTGGCCGCCAAGTTCTAGGCCAAGTCTCTCTTCTGAGTCAAGTGTCTTGGGTGACCTGTACTTTCATCCTTTGGCTACTGCTATTTTGATCGGCCTCTCCAAGCTGCTGAGTAGAATTAAAAAAATATATTCTACCATAATAGTGAGTCCCAACCTAGCCCAGGCTGTAGCCCAGCAAGACTGTCTCAAAATAACAACAAAAAAGCCAAAACAACAGCAGCAAGATCTGCCTTGTTGGAGGATTTATTGCCGCCCTAAGCCCAGAGGCCCAGAAAATCCCTCCTCCCACACCCATCCTCCGAGTCTCAAGGCCACTTGTCACCAGGATTAGCTGCTCTGCCAGGCCCTCAAAGAAAAACAGGCCCCAGAAGGCGCCCATGTTCTCCTGGCTGGGATAGCTGGATTTGGCCTCCCAGTACTGTCCTGCAGATTCTAGAAAATGCTCCACAGTTCTAGGGTTGATAGCTAGTAGATAGCAACAAGAGCAGCTTGGCTTTTGGTCAATTCTAATCCTGTTCCTCCCTGCCACGGGGAATCCCTAAACAAATGTGAAGCCAACTGAATATCGCTGTGCTGGAAGTTTGAAGATGGAGGAAAGTCTGAGTTTAAGTAACATCGTTATAAATTTGATGCTGATTCTTTGGTGTCAATAAAATTGAGGGTTTACATTGAATTATTAAATGATATTTTTGAATAAAAATGTTAATGATATGATTTTAACAAAAATGTTTCCTCTGCACTGGTTTTTAAAAATGGAAAGAAAATAGATTCAAAACTTACTATCTTAGTACAATAAAAATAATATTTATCCACAGACATAACAATTAATTTGGGGGGAAATCCTTTTTATTTTTAGCAAGGATTTAATATAGCAGGGTTAAAGAGAAATAGAAAGGGAAGGAAAAAGAGAAACATCTTACTCCTCATATAGGAAGTAAAACTGTAAATCTTATCTCCTTTTTTTTTTTTGGTCGGTGTGGGGCTTGAACTCTGGACTTAGGCACTGTCCCTGCGCTCTTCAGCTCAAGGCAAATGCTCTACCGCTTGAGCCACAGCACTACTTCTGGTTTTCTGGTGGTTTATTGGAGATAAGAGTCTCATGGACTTTCCTGCCTGGGCTGGCTTTGAACCACGATCCTCAAATCTCAGCCTTAGTAGCTAGGATTACAGGTGTGAGCCATGGGTGCCCTGTTCATCTCCTTTTAAGAGAGGTCTTTCCAAGAAAATTTTAGCTTTGTAAGTGTGTGTGTATATGTGTGTGTTTTGCCTATCCTGGGGCTTATATTTAGGGCTGGTCACTGTCCCTGATCCTCTCTGTGCTCAAGGCTAGCACTCTACCACTTGAGCCACTTCTGGCTTCTGTTTATATGGTACTGAGAATCGAACCCAGGGCTTCATGCATGCTAGGCAAGCACTCTACCCCTAAGCCACATTCTTAACCCTTTCGTGTTTTTAAAATGGAAGAAAGTACCTTTCAAATTACTATGTTATTTGGATAGAAATAAATCAGTATGAGGGTTATGTAAATGTTGAATCTGTGTCAATATTTATAACATATTGAAAACATATAACATATAACAAACTTTGCAACTTTTTTTTTTGGTCCGGTCCTGGGGCCTGAACTCTGGGCCTGGGGACTGTCCCTCAGCTCTTCAGCTCAAGGCTAGCGCTCTACCACTTGAGCCACAGCGCCACTTCCAGCTTTTTTCTTTTTGCTTATGTGGTACTGAGAAATCGAACCCAGGGTCTCAGGCATGCAAGGCAAGCGTTCTACCACTGAGCCACCTTCCCAGCCCCTCTTTGCAACTTTTTTTTTTTTTTTGTTGGTCGTGGGGCTTGAACTCTGGGCCTGGGCGCTGTCCCTCAGCTCTTCAGCTCAAGGCTAGTGCTCTACCACTTGAGCTACAGCGCCACTTCCGGTTTTCTGGTGGTTTATTGGAGATAGGAGTCTCACAGTCTTTCCTGCCCGGGCCGGCTTTGAACCTCGATCCTCAGATCTCAGCCTCCTGAGTAGCTAGGATTACAGGTGTGAGCCACCAGCGCCCCGCTGCAACTTTTTTTAAGCTTGATAAGCAGGTAGTCTTCCATTTGTGCCATACTACCCTCTTTTTTGGTTTATTTCTCCTGTTTTTGCTCTGATCTACCTCAGACTGCAATCCTCCTATTTACGGCATCCCGCATGGCTGGCATGGCAGACACACATCTCCATACTTGGCTTATTGATTGAGAGAGGATCTCACTAACTTCCTCCAACCTCCATCCTTCTCCCAAGTAGCTGGAACTTGACAACTATTTAAAGTTATGAATGAAATATTTAAAATGTCAGCTTAAAAATGTGAGAGGGATAGATGCATGTTTCCAAAAAATTATTTTAGGAAATTTTGGAGCAAAAAAATAAAAAGACTTAGAAGATCGGTGACAGGGTACTTTTGGGCAAACAGCCTTTTCTAGTCGACTGATTAACTGTGTACATGTTTTCTAGCTACACAGTCTAGGTTGAACTTATGTTCTTTTCCCATTGTGTGCATGTGTATGTGTGTGTGTGTGTGTGTGTGTGTGTGTGTGTGTGTGTGTGTGTGTGTTTTAATTGAAGTATAATTTTCACATGGAAGTCCACATTTTCACAAACTGAACACACACATACCCAATACCCTATCAAGATAACAGAACACCAGAATCCCTACAAGACCCTTCATGCTCTGGAAAGTTTTTTTTTTTTGGTTGGTCATGGGGCTTGAACTCTGGGCTTGGGCACTGTCCCTCAGCTCTTCAGCTCAAGACAAGCACTCTACCACTTGAGCTACAGCACCACTTGGAAAGTTCTTTCTCTGATACTGATCCCACATCTCTAACAGGTGGATAATAATGCTGAATCCTTGGAATCACTGCAAAGCAGTCAGGATGGTGCCTCACAGGATCCTGTGTAATTGTCAACTTTTGTCACAATTCCTTGTGGCCACCAAGCCATCATCTCTGCTTTCCTTTACCCTAGACTGCCTAGTATTCCAGGGGAGCTCCCAACAGGCTGGGTATGGTAGAGGGGACAGCCATACCCAGCTTTTAGCAAGAGGTGCTTGTAGACGGCTACAGCATACTCATGGATCCAACAACCATCAGAAAAGTCTCACAGCCAGCCCAATGTGAAATATCCAGACTTTATTAGCTGTGTGACACTCCACTGCCCTCAAAATACCAAGAAATTGTCATGGAACTACCAGGGGTGGAGGGGCTAAGGGCTGAAGCTGCGTCCTCCCTTGTCCACCATGGACACCTACCATCAAGTTGTGGTTGGTGGAGAAAGATCTAGCCAACCCTGGGACTTCACAGTGGGTATTGAGGCAGTGGCTGGTTCAAAGCTAGGAGTCCCCTGCCCTGAACAACTCTCATAAGGAAGACAGAAAGCCTCTTCTTTCTTTCGCCTCTCCATCCTCAGCTCTCTGACTCTCAGCCAGGCTTGTTGTCTACAAGGAACCCAGAAAAAGCTGGGCAAGGTCCTGTGCTTCTTCACCTGAGCTATTCTGGGTCACCTGGCTCTGTAATTACTCTAGGAAAAATGTGTTTTGGAAACCCATTTTGGGAGCGGCCTCTCTCAATATCATTACTTCTAATAGCTTTTATCTTGGGGTCCAGTAGCCCTAACTCCTAGTGAAGCCAGGATCTGAGCCATGTCTCTGGAACTCCAACTGTTTGGGAACAGAGCCAAGATGTTCAGGGAGGGAAGGAAAGCGGGGACCATAGATGAATCCTTGTACTTCTGGGGAACACAGGGGTGGGGCCAGGGGTGACAAAATCTCCTCAGGCAGTTCCTGATCTGAGGATGAGGTCAGAGTTTTGTCTTTTGCCACAGCCAGATGAGATGTACCAGGGGAGGAATTTCTGTGCTTCAGCCTCCATTTGTCCAAATCACCATAGCTTCGGGTCTGGAAGAGGTAAGAAGAAGGAGGCACCATTGTGTGAAGAGTCCTCAGGCCAGGTTAGGAGTTAAACTACCCCAACCACAGGGAAGAAACAGCCAAGAGCTCTGCTTACTCTTCCCACACCTCAAGGCCTGTTGCCCTTCATCCAGCTGTGAGATCTGTCATGCAAATCAGAGCTCTGCCACTAGGCTACCCTAACATCCTGACTCAGACCATAAAGGAGAACAGCAGAAGCAAAATAGCCACAGAGGCTCTGAGCCTGATGCCACATTGAGATGAAATTACAGCAGTGGGGATGGGAGCCGGGAGAAGGGAATAAAGCAGCTACTCCTAGGGAAGGCCTTGAGCACCCTCTCACCTCTTACCTGTACAAGAGGCAGGTGGTCTGGAGGCCACCCAGGCCCTGGACTCTGAGTTGCAGAAGCTTTAGGAAACAAGACCATGTCACTGGAGGCAGGGGCTCTCAGGACATAGCTGGTATGGCCCTTTGACATGGGCTGCTGAAGCAGCTGCAGGATGCGGCTGAGATCTGAGGACATGCGGGACTCCAGCCTGCCAGACAGAAGCCCCCCAGCCCCCCGCCATGGTCAGAATTAGGGTTCTAAAAGCAGCTCAGGTTTTGAGGGCAGCTCTCAACTTGGTAACCTGTCCAAATTTCCCCCTTAGCACATTCCTAACTCTGATGACAGTGACCAGGCTAACTGTGCCCATTTCATGAAATAGCAAACTGAAGCTCAGAGCTGTTAAGTAGCTAGCCCATGTCCTAGCTGTCCTAGGACTGTCCTGCTCACTGTCCCTCACTCTGCCT